ATAAAATTGTTGTTCTCTGTTACCCTTTCCCTGGCTATACACATTGGTATGGAGTATGTAAGGATCTCCAGATAAGTTGCCCAAAAATTCGAGGTCGATCTCATCATGGGTTGGCCCTTCAGAAGACAACTGCAAAATGTGGATAAATTTAGCTGTAAATAAAGAATGATACCCTGACAGAGCACCGGAGCCACAGAATTGATAATGAAATGAAACTTACATAGTATGTAGTGACAGTGCCAGCTGAGTTGCCAGGTATTAGCTTGATTTGCATGTCAATTCTTCCAAAGAGGTATTCATGCTTGGACCTGAAGCCGGAGCCAGAAGCCTTGTCCAGAGAAAGTGTCAGAAGTTGGCCTCCATTGAGTATCTTAGCACGTTGATTGCCGCCCCATGTAACGTCGAAGTTTTCATAGAAGTTTCCTTCCGAGGCTGTTAGTAGAGTAAATACAAACAGAAAAAGCAAAAGTATCGAGGAAAGCCTAGAAGAGGATGGCATCTTCCTTTCCTTAACGAAGACAGAGAGCTGAAAAGCAGTTGAGAGGAATGAAGTTGTATGATGTTAGAACTTGCGCTTGACGATCCTTTATATACGTAAGTCGGAGCGCTTGAAGTAGTTCTAAACGGTTGGATAAAGGGATAGCTGGCAGGCAAAGCAACTTGCTCAAGAGCAGTAGAATAAAGCTGGCAAAGTCTTTGTTTCCTGACTGGACAGGTGTCAAAACTAGGATATATGAGAAGCAGACAGGGAAGGAGCGTATGAAACCAGAATAAATGAATAAAATCTGGGGAAGACGACGAAGAATTGGGATTTCTACTTGTGAACATCTTTGTGGGCCACTCATGCTCCACCGGAATTCACTGTAGCAGGTGTAAGAAGTATAATAAACCATTGAAACAAGTGGGAGAGGTGGGTACTGGGGACGCCAACCAGATCAGACGAAGCTGGCAACTTTTGAGTGACTATGTGAAAAACTGGAGGCAGAAGACATGCATGTTGGGGATTAGCATTACACGCGAGTTTATTTATTTATTACGCAGAAGACGATGGAACCCTATGCCTTCCCAACCAAAACTCCCATTCCATGCAGCTTCCTTTGCATGCTTATCTCCAAAGTATATCATTAGGCACCATTTCACACAACAAAGAAGACAAGCAACTTAATCTAATATTAGTTATTAAGTATATGTTTGTGGGTTATGCTACTGACCTCAGAATTTCACAACTAATTAAGCTTGTACAACGCAAAAATACCACCAGGGAGAGACATGCTGATTAATCTTATAAGTTTTGAATAGTTGATTTCCTTGTGATTGAAGCTATCATATATTTGTGTTCATAGGTATTGTGGCTGAGAGGAGATGAATTAGGTTTTGTTGTTTTCACCACAATTAATTTGACACTGCTCAAAACCTGTAAGTCAGGATAGACTAAACATGTATTTATAAAACGAAATTAATTAAGCTTGTGAATTGCACATAAATCCAATATTAAGAAATTCAAACACGAACCAATGTGCTAAGAGTTATTAAAATATTCCAATTAAATTCATCATGACAAAGAATAGGTGGAATCTGAATACTAAAGATTATTTGGGATGAAGTGGTCACTTGGTAAGAAAAGTTCATGCAACCAAAATACTGTCATGTCAACAAATTTAATAGTTGAACATTTACATTATTAACGATTCTTCTTCATCTAACATTTAATAAAATTATAGAGATTATATTTGTTAAAATTATAGTATAAAGACTATAATTTTAATATTAAAATAATACAAAAATCAATCTTAAACCTTCAGCCTTATTTTTTTTATTTGTTAGATTTATAAAATTATGTCCACTTTAACATTTTTTACTTAATAATAAGATAGATCCAAATCTTCTTCCCTAAAATGATATATACCTTGATTATATATATCAAAGGAGCGACTCAGTAATTTTAAAAGTCTAAAGCTAAATATTTAAATGGGTTTTTTTTTATTGAAATTAAGAAAATAATGTACTTTTCATTGAAGTTAAGGAAAAGCAAATGAGGAAAGAAGAATTTACAAGTGGATATTATAAATTGAAAAAAAAATTAGTTTTATATATAGAAAAAAATTATTAGAGATCATTTAATACATATTATCCTTAGTTGATTAAGAAAATTAATAGCATTATGGGAATTGGAAAGGGATTAAAAATTGAGATTTATTAGGTAAGGAAGTGAGAATATGTATAGGGATGTGGAAATGAGAAAAAAATATTTATTAGACATAAAAAAATAAAAAAATATTTTATTAATTATATTAATTTTTATATATGTTTAATATAATTAATTTTATTATTATTATAAAATTATGAGACTTCTTCAAATTTGAGTCTAAAACCCTTGTTTTGGTGCTTTACCCACCTAACGGCACTTATATATATATATATATATATATATTCAAAGCCCTAATCAATTTGCACCTGCAACCTATGCTTCCATGTATGTGCGTATGCAAAGACCGGTGAGTTTATTTCTTTGGTCATATTCAAAGTGTGGAACTGGAATGCTAGCATAACTCAGAGCAAGTTCAGTAAATGATCTTAATTGGGCTGTAATAAATACTGAGGGCGAAAGTGCACGGAAAGTTATATATATTTTGGTTTGAAAAGAATATATTGTATCCCTTATCATTCCTAACGCGTCTCTCTTCTGTCTCCAGCATTTTCACATATACAGATTAAAGTTGCCAGCTGCTGCTGCTCCAATTGTCATCTGGTTGGGTTGGCAGCGCTGAATAGATCCTCCGCCTCTCTCTCTCATTTACTTTTTAATTTCTTCAATCGGATATAGTTCAGTCAACACGCTCGGTTCAAGCACCAAAAGACCCTCAAGAAAAGCCAGAACTCTACCATGGAACCGTCCTCAAAAACCCTTTTTCTAGCTTCCTTTGCTCCTTCCTTCTTTCAGTAATGCGAATTTGCCAGCTTCATTCTACTGTTCAAACAAGGATTGCCAGCTCTATGTGTAGACTAGACAGTAGTTTATTATTCCAAGCATCTTATTCTTTTTTTTAAAATAATATAAAATGTAGAATTTTTTCGGTCACTTTATTGAAAAGTTGACATTCTAAATAGCTCCAAACAATTAACTATCGGTGCTCAAACTCAAAACCTATTATAATGGTGGCAAACGAAAACCCTTTGAATTAACCACGTTGACCGGCACTCATAATACTAGCCTAGCCTATAAAAAGAGCGTTTATAGCTCACGCTCTAACGTCACGCTTTTACCTCTCTTTCGGCTGTCTTAATTTCGAAAGCTCTCTGTGCGCCTTTCATTTGTTTAGGAAAAAGGACGATGTCATTCTCTTGCTCTACACTTCCATCAATACTTTTGCTTTCTCTCTTTGTATTCACTCTTACAACTTGCTCAGAGGGGAACTTTTATGAGAACTTTGACGTTACATGGGGTGGCGATCAGCGTGCTAAGATACTCAATGGAGGCCAACTTCTGACACTTTCCCTGGACAAGGATTCCGGATCTGGCTTCCGGTCCAAGCATGAATACCTTTTTGGAAGAATTGACATGCAAATAAAGCTAGTACCGGGCAATTCAGCTGGCACTGTCACTACATATTATGTAAGTTTATCAATTCTACAGCTCAGCTGCCCTGTAATTAAAGGCAAAATTTGCTTAGTTGATTGATTTGTACTACTACACTTTGCAGTTATCTTCTGAAGGGCCAAACCATGATGAGATTGACTTTGAATACTTGGGCAACTTGTCTGGAGATCCTTACATCCTCCATACCAATGTGTATAGCCAGGGAAAGGGTAACAGAGAACAACAATTTTATCTCTGGTTTGATCCCACAAAGGCGTTTCACACCTACTCCATCGTCTGGAATCGTCAACGTATCATGTAAGCAATATGAACTCACCATCGTGAATCACTTCAATATTAGAGTGCCTAAATATGTAGGGTCAGATTCAAAATGATATGCAAGTTCTCTAATGTATTTGCTATTCTTTGCTTTCAGATTCATGGTTGACAACATTCCTATCAGAGTATTCAACAACATGGAATCAATCGGTGTTCCTTTCCCCAGCAACCAACCCATGAGGATTTACTCAAGTCTCTGGAACGCTGATGACTGGGCAACAAGAGGTGGCCTTGTGAAAACTGACTGGACGCACGCTCCTTTCACTGCCTCTTATAGAAACTTCAACGCCAATGCCTGTATTTGGTCATCATCTCAGCCTTCCTGTGCCTCCAAGTCCACCGATTCCCTGCAGGCAAATGCTTGGGAGAACCAAACTCTCGGTGCAGCTGGCCGGAACAGAATCAGATGGGTGCAAAACAAGTTCATGGTGTACAATTACTGCACTGACTTGAAACGGTTCCCTCAGGGTCTCTCGCCAGAATGCAAGCGGTCAAGGTTCCTCTAGTGATATTACACCCACAAAATGTTACACTGTATATACTACCTCTCACATAAAACATGTAGTTGTCCATGAAATTTTTTATTCTTTAATTATTTCTGCAAATATTACAATTAAATAAATTAGTTCTGGTTCCCATTTACAATTAAGTCAAGCAGATCAGCCTTAATGCTTTCTTGAATTCTGACGACGTATGGTCATCAAAGTCCTTGACAAACTGCGAGCTAATTACTACTTGGAAAAGCTATTTATTTTCCATTTCCCAAAATATATACTTGGTGATACTACTTGAACCAATTCAGTAATTCCCTCCAATTTTTTTGCAATTGGTATTCACTACAGGTATATATTCTTTAATCCGTTAATTTTGGTACTTGTTTTACTAAGAGAAAAAGTGATATGAGATTTCAGTTTACCAGCCAGACGATGAATTTAACAATTCAAGTGTAACCTATGGTCGATCCCTTGAAAAGAATTGAAATCTATTATTAATTAAAGCTCTATGTATAAAAAGGAGAATGATGTATTTCACCTATAAATCTATATTATAATCAGTATCATTTTGTTTAATTAGGATAGAGCTAGCTACATATAGTTCCATGGGGCTCATTTCAACCGACTCCAGTGAGCTTTTTAACTATTTTTTAAAAGCCCCAGTGAACTTAATTTGAGGAATTTATCAATTTAATAGCATTATATTATGTGTTTTCTTTTATTGGTCTTGAATATAAACTTGAAAAAAAATATTTATATTATTAGAATTTTTTATTATGTGGGTTTCTATTAATTGGTAATTTTAATTTTATAAAATAGATTGATAATTTATTCTTATTATGAGATAAAGTATGAGAGTCCAATTAATATTAAAGTGATCAATTAGGCTTATCACGTCTAATTGGGTTAATGCAATTTGATGGTTGTATAAGCTTTGGCCCAGTACGCCCTTAATGGATAGACTAGTTAGGTCTCTCTTCTCTTTTAACTTTTATCTACTTATTGAGAGCTGCCACAAAGAATAGAAAAGTGCAAAGAGGAAGATCTAGCCTTATCCATAAATTTTTTATCTTTTCATTGTAAGCAATGGCTATATTTATGAATCAAATAGGTATGGAATAAATAATTGATTCTTTTGGTGTTCTAATATTCACATATAGATTTAATGATTCAACTTAAATGTGGTATCAGAGTAACTTATGTAAAATTAGAACCCAACAAAATTTAAAAATTTAATGAATTTATTTTGTAAAATTGTATGTTGGGGCATACTTATTTTTTATTATTGAAATTTATTTTCCAGTTATTGTTTCTGAACATAAGGTTAGGGTGTTTATTCCTTACAATGCATAGATTAATTTTGTATAAATCTTTTTTTTCTTCACTAGTACCATGGAGATAGGAATTAGATAGTAAGTTTTGGGTTTAAACATAAAACCCAAAATCTAGTTCTTGATTAATCACTTATATTTTATATGTTTTAATTTAAATTGGACTCTTGAAATCAAGTCACATATGTTATAAAGTTGATATCTGAGTCTAATTACATAAAATATAAGTATATTGCAACCAATTTTGGAGAAAACTTAAAACGGGTTAAGAATGGATTTTCGAAATTAATTTTCTTGATCAATTGATTTTGGGTTTGGAGTTTTTTGATGAGTTTTAATGCATGGGTATTATAAAACAAAATCTTAATTGAGATTTATAAGGATCAATTTCATAAAAAATATTTAAAAAGTCAAGAATTAAAAAAAAATTAGCATAAAGACCCAAATAAGTTGAATTTGATTCAATTGGGTCACATTTGACCCAATTAAAAGTTGAAGATATAAAAAAAATCTGTTGGGCAACGAAGCCCACTCTCAAGCATGGAGTGTGAGGAACTTGGGGCCCATTAGGCTCATTATTTTTAAAATATTTGTTGGCAGTTAATCTCCACTTGGCTAATTCTACATGTTGTTAATCTCCACTTGCCTAATTCTACATGTTGTGCTATTTTTTTGAATTTTTAATGCAGGTTTAATATTTATTTAATTTCATCTGTATTTAATTAATTATTCTGAATATTTTTGATAAGATATTTCTAGAATGCATGTGATAGAAAAATTATATATATATATATATATATATGTTTGAGTTGAATGGTTATATGGACTCTCCATGGATTAGTCTCTAAATTTGTATACTTTCGAGTTAAAATTATATACATAATTTAGAGAATGTATTATCTTTATTTTTTTTAAATAAAAAGGTTTAAGACTTTATGTTTTATTGCAATGAATACTATTTTGGATCAAATGAGATATACCCATGTTTAGTATCTCAACATGAATGGTTCATTGCATACATTGGGTTGAATATGCAAATTAAGGAATTTGGGCAAATAATTAATGCCGGATTTAAGAAAGTTTTTTATTAATTGATGTAAGTGTTTGGCTGCCAAAGTGGCTCATTTACTAAAATTAATGGATTATTTTCTTAAACAAAAGGTTACATGATGATTTCTTTTTTTAAATTGCTTTATACAATCACCTGCCCAAAGAGGGTTATTGTGTAGGGTAATTTAGAGTGGGAGATGAAGCATCATCGTTAAGTGTATATTGATTTAGAAGGTTTATCTGCCTAAAAAGGATAAGCTTTTCAAAAACTGGAATATTCTTATATTAGCTTTATGTGGAGAGTGCCTATTAGCATGTCGTATTCTCTATCCAAAGGGGAGTTTGTGATGATGCACTTGGACTCTTAGGTTATTTTCTTTTAGTACATTATGGATTAGTGCTAATTATTTCATTATTGCCCAATTAACTAATAGTTACATTTCTTGTCTTGAATAATGACATTTATTGTGAATAATAATCAAGCTATTATTGAAACTCTTAATGGGTTTAACTATAAGAGATGGAATGAAGATTTGTCTTTGCCTTGGTCATGAGTGAAATAAACATAGCCTTACGTGTTGATAAGCCTGCTACCCTTACTGACAAGAGCACTATTGAAGAAAAAAGTTTTTTGCTTAATAAGATAAAGCAAATCACTTATGTATGCATGCTATTAAGAGATTTGTCTCTGAACATCTTTTAAGTGGGTTGCAAAAGACTGAAACTGTTAAAGAACTTTATGAAGCAATAGGTGAAAGATATCAAAAATCCAGTAAGTTTAAGGCTGAGAGCTTTATGAATTAGCTTACGAGTATGAAGTATAACAGTGTTGAAGGGGTTAGGGATTTTATCATGAAAATGGTTCAAACTGGGTTTCCTACTAGTCCATAACTAAAAAGGTGTTCTAAAAACTAATTTACGGGGCACTTTATTAAAAACGTACAAAACAGTTTTAATGGCTTCACCCCAAAGGGACTCGGGAAGGTTAGTATTAACAAGTTTATTGTTCATCATGCTCTTAATTCTTTACCTATTTAGTTTACCCAAATAAAAACTACCTATAATGCTGTGAATAAGGTTTGGAGTGTATGACTTTATTTCTAAGTGCGCATCTAAAGAAGAAAAACTCAAGAAAGAAAAAAGTGAGAGTGCCTTGTTACCACCAATTCCAAACCTTATTACTGAAAGAATTTTTTTTAAACATTCATGAGATGTTTGATTTTACATTTGTTTATGATCATCGTTAATTGATAATCCATGCTATTATGTGGTATTATTTGTACCTGTATATCTAATTGCTATTTTGCATATATGCTTTATAAAATCTTGAGATTGGTGTTTATCTCAAAAGTGATTTTATTAGTATGTCTCATGAATGATACTCGTAGAGAACTTCGAGGATAAGTGGGAGACATACAGGCATATTGTCAATGCTAAATAGATTTCTCACCATGTTTAGAAAAATCAGCAAGAGGACTGACAATGAAAATAACACATTGAGATCACATTTGGGTGTTATTTTCTTGTTACAGAGCTACACTGAGATCCACTGTCGATAGGATCACTGGTACTTGTAAATATGGATATGTCTTTTGTCAATAAGTGGCATAATGATTGCCATAATTCAGTATTAGATGTTTCTATTGGATAGGATTGTTAAGACATTGTCTCTAAGGGCTAAATATTTTTAAATTGTGGCCACATCAAAATTAAGTCAATTAGTCCAGAGTCTTGTTTTTTAAAGTGTTTTTTTAAAGTCAAAATAAACTCCAATTAATATTGTCTAAGTGGGAGAATGTTAGAATTTTCTATTATGTGGGCTTCTATTAATTGGTAATTTTGGTTTAATAAAATAAACTGATAGTTTAATATTATTGTAAGACAAAGCATGAGAGCCCAATTAATATTAAAGCGATCAGTTAATGATGAGCTTTACACATCTAATTGGGTTAGTATGGTTTAGCGGCTGTATAAGCCTTGGCCCAATACGCCTTTAATGGGGAGGCAAGTATTAAGGTTTTGTTTATATATATATATATATATATATATATATGACTAGGTCCCTTTTTCCCTTATAACTTAACGGTATCTACCTAGTGAGAGCTGCCACAAACAATAGAGAAGTGCGAAGAGGAAGATCTAGCCTTAATCAAGAATTATTTATCTTTCTACTACAAGCAATGGCTACCTCTATAAATCAAACATGTACGGAATAAATAATTGATTCTTTTGGTGTTCTAATATTCACACATGGATTTAGGGATTCAGCTTACATATATATAAGGAAATTTTGTCTATATTTTTATTATAGCAATAAGCTAAAATGTGACTCAATTCACTTACTTATAAGCAATTTTTTTAAGCATTTAATTTGATATTGTTGATGACCAACTCATGTGAGTCAATATTATGTGGTGTTCATATATCATGCAAGTGATTGGATGACAATTGTTTCAAAATTTGAGGTTAAGTACTCAATTGGAATGGTTTAAATGTTAAGAACTACCAAGTAATAAATACAAAGGTCTACTACCTAGGGGTGCAATTTACCCAAGGATGAGAGAAGAAATAAGACAATGAAATAAAAAGAAATAAAGAACAATATAAGAGACGACCAATGTATACAAATATTTAAAAATTAGCTATAAAGGGTACTTTAATTGGCTAGGGCCTTGAGAAAGAGGATAATGGATTTAGAGAGAGATAGCTAGAAGGGAACAAGAAAAGTATTGTTGTGTTGGAGTTGGAGTTGGAGAGAGAATTTTTTTAATTTAGTTTTTAAGAAAATTTTTAATACTTAGTATTTTGTGGTATGTTTAATTTGTAGAATATAATGAAATGGAATAAAATAAAAATTTTATAAAAATGAAATAAGGTAGGAATATAATGGAAATGTTATTATCTAGTTCAGTTGATGGAATGAAATGAGGTAAGTATTGCTATTATGATTTATTTCAAAATTTAGTGGGTAAAATTTTTTTTGAAATAACAAAAGAATAAATAAAAAAAAAAAAATTATTATACTATATAATTATCTATTTTTTATTTATTTTATTTTTAAATATTAATGATTTATTAATTATTAAAGATATTACTAATTTATAATTTAAATATTAATATTTTATTTATAATTTAAAAATTATTATAATTAAAATATTAATAATTTAATTAATTTTTAAATTTTAATTACTAATTTTTATAATATATAATTAAAAACTTAAATTTTTATTTTATTTTTTTTCATTTCACTTACAAAGAGTATTTTTGTCTTGTTAATTTAGAAGCTATTCCCCAACCATAGAATAATAAATACCATGAGGGATTGGGAGCAGCTAATCTTTGATTTTGGGTAATTTTGGAAAATAGAGATTGCAGGAAAATGACTATTTTTTGGACCATTTGGTAACCAAATGAAGGAATAAATATTCAAAATCAAACATGCTGGTAGAGTTTTAGTTTTATTTAATCAATGTGTCAAACATAAACCATATAAAAAAATTAACTATAAAAGGTATTGTAACTTATTGGGCCCTTGAGAGGCATTTTTTGATTAAGAAAATAATAGATCTATCTCTCATATATTATTTCATAATTAAAACATAATTTATACTTGATTAATTTAACTCTTAAATTTTATATTTTATTCATAAATACCGTAAAATTTTGATAATTAAATATTTATTGAAAAAATCTCGATTGATATAAATAATAATTATATATGATTAATTCGAAATTTTAAGTATGTGATGAATACAAACATATTATTAAATCTAACGATTGATTTATTAAAATATTAATTGATGTGGAATTCTAAAAGTAAGAAAAATGAATTAATTTTATATTGATATAATTTATTTTTTTATAATTAATGTTTCTTTTTCAAATATAAGTTCCAACCAATGTTCCGAATATTAGAAATTTAAAGTTACCAAATATAGGCTAAATTACAGTCCACTGTATAACTAGAAAGTTAGATGGTAAAATCAAGGGAAAGAGATCAACGATAGATGGCAGTGGCAATCGACGGTCCCTCAGAGGCTCCGACGTGCAAACCAAGCCAACTGTCACGCAAAAAGGGTTACCACAAAAAATTGAAAATGCCCTTCTTTATCGAGTAATTATAACAACACATTGGAGATGCAGCCGGTTGCAGTTGCTGCATTCCCCAACTGCTGTTATCCCGTCCCCAACCGCTTCCTTCATTTCCATTTCAAAGAAAATCCCTCCAATCTTTCCTTTCCCAGGAACCAATCCCACATCAGAAACCTCTGTTCTTTAACTCTCCCCACGACAACTAACAATTTCAGCAAACCCCAACAAGAGAACCAGAACAGGACAAACAGTCACACATACCCAGATCAGAAATCCGCATTCCTTGACCAGTTTTACTTTTCCTTTAGCAAAATCAACGTAAATAACCAAGACCCAGATCCCCAAAACGAAGATAAAGAAAGGGAAAAACATCCCGGAAAGACCAAATTTTGGCATTTCCTCAGAGTTATTTTCACAAACATGTGGTGGGCAGATTTGAAAGCTGCGGTAGGACAAAGAATCAATGTTGAAGGCATTGTTTCGTCGGTTGGAGTGTTCGTTAGAGACCGTCACTTGGCGTTGCCGCATGTTGCAGTGCGTGATATAAGGTGCATTGATTGGAATGAGCTGCACAGAAGAGGGTTCAAAGGTGTTGTTTTCGATAAGGATAATACGATTACTGCTCCTTATTCTTTGACGCTTTGGCCTCCTCTTGAGCCTTCTATTGAGCAGTGCAAAGATGTGTTTGATCCTGATATCGCTGTGTTTAGTAACTCTGCTGGTAACTTTTGCCTTTACTTGTTTATATTGATTCCTGTTTTAACTCTTGCTGATTGTGTTTCTGTGCAATATGTTGATGTTTTGCCCTTTTCCCCCGCTTTATGATGAATAAAGGTCTTTTAGAGTATGATCATGATGGTTCGAAGGCCAAGAAACTAGAGGGGACTATTGGTATTAAAGTCATAAGGCATAGTAAGTGTTCTTTTCTCAGTTTAACCATTTACTTTAAGTCTGTTACCAAATTCATTCTATACCATTCATGAAAAATATATTAATGTTTTAACTGTATGTTGCAGTTTCAATTCTATGTTAAAACACTATGCATGTAAATGGCTTGGGATTTACAATTGTTGCTAAATTTTATTTGTAGGTTTAGCACACATTAATATGAGTTATTGTTAATTTATGCCAAAAGTGTTTGGTTTATCTAGAATTGATTAGTGTGTCTATCTGACATGTCTTTCTAGGGGTGAAGAAACCAGCTGGAACAGCTGAAGAAATCGAGAAACACTTTGGATGTCAATCATCGCAACTTATCATGGTATGCAAAGGGTGATTGAACTTACTGGATGGTTGTTTTAATGTTTGACTTCAGATTACGTTAGTGACCTAATTTATGTTTATGGCAGGTGGGTGATCGGCCCTTCACTGATATTGTTTATGGAAATCGAAATGGGTTTTTGACTATATTAACTGAGCCATTGAGTCTTGTTGAGGAGCCATTCATTGTTAGGCAGGTTAGTTTTCTTTCATTTTTGTTTTGTTTTGCTGTTTTTTGTGTTTTGTTTGTTTTTGTTTTTTTCTTTTTCTTTTTATGCACTGAAGCACCTTCCTGAATACTTCGAACAGAAAAGATTGAGAATGCAAACCCTAGGAAAGTATCTTGATGCATCTTTGGTCTCTTATTGTGAGAGAAACTTGCTGCAGAAGATTTTGTCTCTGAAATTGAGCCTTAGCAGTTAACTTTTAGAACGTTAATAAGGACCATAGTTATTGGATCTTTCTTCATTCTCTTACAAGACCTTACATCCATTTAATTGTTATTTTGAAATTATGGTATTCACCATTTGGTGACTGGAGACTGTCTTTTTCCCTAATTGCATCAGCTTTCTAAATTAAGTCTTTTAGGGTTTTGCAACAATTCAATCTATCACTCTTGGTGGACTTCAACTTGAACAAAAATCAGATATAAGACATATAATGATGAGATGTGGTGGATTTGTTTTGGTGGGGCTGTCAATTAGCATGTTTCTTGGCTCACTTAGAGCTTGTTTTTCCTTTCTTTGATGAACCTATGAAGTCTCTGCCAATAGCTGTTGACTTGCATCTTCCCTCTTAAGTGAAATGTTGTCTTCAAGCTTTCTTGGTATTGGGTACATTATTTGCACTATATTAGAATTACACCTATGTGGAAAATTTCGTTCCCTCTGTGTTTTTATTGCATCATGTTTGAATCAGTTTGCCCATTTTTATCTGTTTTAAACTTTTATGCATGTCCAACAAACTTCCATCATCAATCCCACTTTTTTAGATACACATCATGTTTTCCAGGTAGTTATTTTGATTGACAAATCTCCTGAACAACATGGAGAATTTTTTAATCCTCCTCTTTCCATTCTTTCTATTAATTACAATTATGAGAGCCATGTTGGAGGAAGGCTATTCACTGCCAGGAGAATGGATTTAAGAGTTAACTGCAAGGGGTTAAGGAGAGAACTTGAAGTCCAAACTTGATTTACGAGTAGGGTTTGGCGTGGCCACTCCATCGCTGTTGGATCTTTTAATATATAAAAGTTAACTCTTTTTTTCTTTTTCTTTCTTTTTTCTTTTTCCTGAGTTTGTTAGTCTTTTAAATGGAAAACGCATGTACATTGCATTTTAAGATGAAATAGTAGAGGGTGCAGATAATATCTTGGTGAAGGTTGATTTGTGATTGTTATACTAGTTTGGCTTGTATTTGACTTCCCTGCGTCTCTGCTTTGGTATTATTTTGTGTAGTATGTGTTGATTTCTGTTATTTCTTTCAAATTCTTATGAATTATAATGGAAGAGACTAAATGTTTGCAGGTGCGGAGACTAGAGCTGACCCTCATAAATCGGTGGTTTAGAAGAGGTTTGCAGCCAATTAGTCATAATTTACTACCAGATACCATGCACTGTGTGAAAGATCCATCTTCTCTGTAAGAAATACCATGGATATATGAGACAATAACTGTCTATGTAGGCGTTGACAAATTTTTAACTCATGATTATTTGCTTCTTGGAACCACTTCAAAATTTATTTAATTCTTTCATTTAGTACGACAAAGTAATTTTTTAACTCTTATTTGATTTAAAACTTCAAAGAAAGAAAGGAGGGCAACTGAAGCAAGGAAAAACCACTTCAGCATGTTAATAGCTTCCTTGGAAAGATGATGTATTTGCCTTCTTGCTAGTACCGAAGTAGTGCGTCTAGTAGATGAATATTGTTGCTCCTTAGCAGCAGTTCTCATTCATTAATTTTGTTTTTCTTTGAATTTGGGTTCGTAGGATGGGCTGCATAATAGGGACACTCTTTTTCCATCTCGTATACTCCCTTGGTGTATTCATTCATTCCCATCCCATAAGTCTTGTTTTGCTAGAGTTTGTTCACTAGTTTAGGCATCATCTAAATTCCAAACACAATTAGTGGATGTCACAATTGAGAAAGATTTCTTGATTTTAACCCATTTATAGTAGTGGAGTGGCCATTGTAGAGCACAATCACTACCAGGTCAGATATGGGACTGTCTTTTATTAATTAGTTCTCATATTTTATTTTGTAAATAAAAATTTTCAGGTGAAAGAATCTATATTCTTTAGAACGAATCCTACCTTATTCTTTAAGTTGCATGCTTTTAGAAATGCTGGTAGTTATAGAGCCATTTCCTGTATTGCATTTTTGCTAGCAAATGTCATTTACATAGGTTACACTTGATTTATATATTAACATGATGCTGATAGGTGCTGTGCAAATAATTGCATGCTGGAAAACATGAAATTGTGGAAGCATTCTGGATAAGTAGAAAGAAAGGGGTTAGTTAAGGAGTGGGGAAGTGATTATAAAGGAACCATGAGCAAAGGGTAATTTTTGCCTTTGAGGCTTTGATTTATTGTAGAGCATAAATAATCCAGCTGACTAAAGTAAAATTGTTAGCATTTTTGGTGGTGAGCACGGTGTAGAATTAGAACAGACAGATATAATTGGGCAGCTAAATTCCTTTTGTGTTGTCTGATTTAGAAATGGAATTGGCCAGCTGAAATCTCATTGTTTTGTTGGAGAGAATCAGGCATGCATTTGGCATATGGCATGCTTTCCTCGCAGAAACTAAGCAGTGAATTTTGGGTTTCATCATGCCTTTAGTTGTCAAGGGATGTTTTGACATATGCCGTACCAGACATCTATGTCTGTGAACCTTTAAACCAAGTCACTATGCCTGCCTCTCTTGCCCTATGTTGTCATTCGGAATACGAATTGTATGCAAGGTCAATTTTCAGCATGATGTGGGTTAACCTGCTCTTGTATGTATACCATGTCAATGCTCATGACATCCTAGAACATATATTTGGAATAATCTCGTATAAATACAAAAATTTGTCTTCTAATTTCAGAAGTACATGCTCAATCATAAACATATTCTATAAACTTGAAGATTTGGTGTTAGGAATGCTCAATTAATTTTCTTAAATAATCTATATTTGACTGGAATTGCCTACCAAACCAAAGTCTGCCCATAATATTACAAGTTGGAAATAAAAGGAGTGTTGGTGCCAATTTTGAGCAAACTACACTTGGATTTTATAATTAAAGGTGTTCAAAGATCGGGTTATTCTTTAAGATCCATTAGCTTGACGCAACTTTGATTCGGATTGATTACAAAATTTTTACGTCTGAGCTCAACCTGATCAATGTTATACTATTTTATTATCATATTCCAGTTTAATTTTAATTTTAAATGTATTTAAAACTATTAATGTTAATCGTATTAATTTTGTAAACTTTGCTACTCCAATGCTAGGGTTATTGATTAAATTAAACTTGCGTACGGCACCACAAACATAAAATTGCACTTCATAAATAATTTTTATGGGATAAAAAAAATCCTTGTGCTTAGCTTAATAATAATAATAATAATAAATTATGTTATAGTGTTTCTCTAATTTGTGTTTATTATATTAGATTACGTGATATGTTGTACATGGTTCAATATTTAGCATAAAAAGTTTTAACCTTTAATATTATCTGTTTGAGACTTTTATTCCATCTTTGCTCATAATTAATGCAGTTAAATTGTAAAGGCTTGGCTACTTAAGCTTAGGAAGGATGCATCTAGGCAACGTGTACTCATATTTAACTCATGAGAAGGAAATTAACGAGCTATTAGGCTCTAGCTCAAATGATATTTAGGTAGAAATTATTCTAAGTTAAGGGTTAAGTGCTATTGTTTGTTGCATCCGTGCCATTGACACATATACATATACATATATATGTATATATATATATATAGATGAATGGTGACAAAGAATACGGCCTCTGAGAGGGGAAGAAACCCAAAAAATAATAATAATGTTTACAAAGAATATAATTAAATAAAAAAAGAAACCCTTATGTGGCTTTACACTAACTTAGGAGAAATCTTGACAGGCATTCCCTGAGAGGGAAATGGGTGGGGAGCCATGGTGACTGACTCATTGGGATAGATCAATGACCAGTTGTAACGAGTAAGAACATAATGCACGAAGATGAGGATATTCAACTTGGCAAGCTGATAGCCTGCACAGACTCTTGGTCCTCCTCCAAAGGGAAGAAAAACGTAGGGTGGAACAAATTCCTCAAATCTGCTCGGATCAAAACGTTGAGGATCTTGGAAATACTCCCCACTGTAATGTGTTCCATACGCTGTCCGTAGCACCTGCATGCCACCGCAAAAGGAAAAATCATTTTGTAAGGGGAATCTATTTCAAGTTTTCGTCAACTTTTCTGGTTGTTGAAGCAAAAAGAGAAATCAATAACGCGTACCTTCCATCCTTTGGGAATGGTGAATCCTTGATATTCAAAGTCAGCAACTGCTTTCCTGAAAGAGCCAAAGATGGGAGGGAATAGCGGCATGCTTTCTCGAGCAGCTTGCCAGGTATACTCCATTTTCTTCACGTCTTCTAACGTCAGATTCTCACCTGGCCTTTTATTGTTTATTATATTAGCATGTTCTGGTGAACAAGACGGTGCTTTCACGTCAGAATTGAGAAAGACTTAAAGAGGAAATGAAGTACTGCATATCTAAGTTATGTACAAAGAAGCCGAAGTTGGATTGTAATTCATAAAAAGCACCAGTGGCGGTACCTTGGAGGAGGAGAGAATAGCACTCTGGATGTTGAGCCAACATTTTAAATGCCATGGCAATGGCGAACGAGCAAAACTACGTTATCGATGACCTCTTCCTCTGTAATATCCCTCGAATCATTGCAGCCACCAATAGCGATAGTAGCACTCCTCTTTTTCCTTCTCCTTGCAAGCTGCTTTCCATTTCTTTTCTCATTTCGGCCACTACTTCCGCCAATATCTTTGCTATCTCTAGCCTTGCTTTCTTCGCTCTTGAAAATTTAGAGCCAGGGAAGTTGACAGGTGGAGCGAAAACACCTTCTACAACTCTCTCAAAGGTACCTAACATCTGTGGCTCAACGTTGATCCCTAACAAGCACTCAAAGACTATGGTAAAGGTCAAAAGTTTTGTTGAACAATAAAGGCTGACATTATCTTTACCATACCAATTTTTGTCAAGGTGAAGTTGAACTGTGTTGCATATTTTTGGCACTAAAGCCTCTAGTCCTGCACAGTTGAGACAAGATGCTACCAGTCCGCGAAGGCAACGGTGCTGATCCCCTTGTTTTTCCATGATAGAATTTCTGCCCATGAGCTGAACTGAGGATGAAGGCCATGAGCTTATCACCAACTTGAATTCATTTGACAGGATGAACCGATTGGCTTCAGCTCCATTTACAACGACAGTAGGTGATCCCATAAGGCTTGTTTTGAAGATTTTTCCGTACTTTGCAATCCGGGGTTCAACAAACTCCTCAAACAACCAAATGTTACGTTGAGCTTTGTAGAACGCCATTGTTTCACCAATCAAAGGAAGTCCCATCTGCCCTGGAGGGAGTTTTCCCTTTATTCTGTAACAGCTTTTCTTGCGTTTTAAGAAAACGGTGGAGACCATTGCAGCTAGGCAAAAGACAATCCATGAAAGAACATTGCTGATCTCGAAAGCCATTTGTTTTTTGTTTCTTATTGGTGTGTGCGAAGAAAATAGACTGTGAAGCAGGAATCTATAGCTCCTTAGCAGGTGAAGTTGCGTTGATTTGTGCTGGATATAAATAGTCAAACCCCAGTTGATTTTCTGTAGAAGTCAACTAAATCATATATACATTCATTAACCTTCCCAATCGTATTATTAAATAATTTTTGTGGCTCAACACGTTGACTTGGATCGAAAGATTATCATCAAGTAGAGTATGAAAACAGTGAACATGGACGTTGCATGTGCCTGATTCATCTTGCTGATACCCTCACCGCCCTCTCAAATAACAAACATGTCATCATAATATATCTGAGGAATTCATTTTCTGATATGTGTAGAGAATCCCTGGTTTCAGTGTTGTTGAGTTTTTATAATCGTCAGAATATCCCTAAAAATCTGCAAAGTCCAACACAGAAAACAGATTTATCTCTTGAGGAGTCAAAATGCATAAAAATGGAATATCTTTTCACCGCCCATGACCCCCGACGGCAATAAGGATGATCATCTTTGGCAACTCTGATAAACTAATGTGAAAAAAGAAAACTATTTGCTGCACTGGCTGAATCAATTGGTTGAAGATTAGAGTCAAGTTATATCTCAAATCTATCAGGGAATTTTGTGGGAGAATATTAACTCAGTGTCCCAGCCATGTTTTTTTTTCCTTTGAAAGTATCCCAGCCATGTTAGAAAGCAAGATTTATGGATCGATCCGACCAATTATGATTGGAGGAAATTGTGAGAAAGAGTCAAGTTTTTTACTCAATTTTTGTCATGATTTAACAAAAAAAACCTTTAAAGATATTTTAAATAAATTAATCTCTCGATTTCTCTCTCCAGTCATATAGACAAATTAAATGCTCTTTTAGCTCTTTCAGCTCTCTCTAATTTGAGAACCATCGCCATCGCTCTGGTCCATCTCTCAACAATTATACCAAAATAAAATAACAATTTGTATTTTAACTAACAATAATTAACCAACTATTAGTTATAAGATTTCATTTGATATAAAATAAAAATAAATGGACTTAATTGAATGTAATAAAAAAATAAAAAATTATTTGAATTTTTTTAAAATCGTTTAAGAGTTTTTTTTAAAATATTATACCAAAATAAGAATATTAAGTGTTTTAAAAAATTAACTTAAAAAATTTTTAAAAAAAATTAAAGAAAGTGAAACAAGAGGAATATATTAGTTAAGGGTAAAATCCAAAAAGCCTCTCAAATCACTTCAAAAGTGTAATGGATATATGTGTGAATATCCATTTTGTTATGTATATTTAGATTTGGATATATATTAGATTGTATTAAGATTAAGACTTAATCCATCCACCTAATCTCTTAGTATTATTTTTATTTTGTAAATTCTGTCTAGATAAAGGATTATTAATTTATAAATAGATCTCTCACTTCATTTATAAATATACTCTTAAATACAATCTTCCTACTCCCTCCAAATACTTTCTTTATAATTATTCTCTTTTTTTTATAATTATTTTTTCACTTTATATTTCATAACACGTTATTCACACGAATTTTTAATCTCTCAAGTTGTGGTGCTATTTAATTTTTATCATTATTTCAAAGTCACAGTTTCAAGCTTTAATGGATTTTAATGGTTGATTTTCTTTTATATTTGGTTTTAGCGAATCAGTTAAGTAACTTAATATATCTTCAATGTTTTCATCCCTGAAAATTAATTTAAATGTGAATTTGCTATCATGTAATATACATTATATTTTATTCCTTAATTGGAAAGTGAATTTGCTAGTATATAGTTACTAATAAAAATAATAAACTGTCTATTTTCTAAAATAAATACAGCATCATTTAATAATTACGATCATAGATATGGAACAGGTCACAATAATAATTACAATCGTTGTAGTTACACTAATCACTACTCAAATTGTAAGAATACATTTATCCATTAGAAGTGAGTGTATAATTTTAATCCACCAAAAGTGGATAGATAATTTTGATAATTTTAATCCACCAGAAATTGATGGATACTTTTGACCTACAAGAAAAAGATAAATACTTTTTAGCCCACAAAAAGTAGATGAATACCTTTTAACCCACTAAAAATTAACAAATGGTGAAAGAGATATAATAAAAAAAACAAGTCTATCTACTTTATGAAGCAAATATGACATCGTGGTATTATTAATCTCTATTCTAATTTTAAGAATACATTTACTCACTAGAAGTGGATTAAAATAGAAGTGGATTAATAATTTTAATCCACCAAAAGTGGACGAATATATTTTGATCCACAAGGTAGACAAATACCTTTTAATCTACCAAAAGTTAATGTCTGGTGAAGAGATACAATAAAAAAGACAAAAGTTGATGGAATAAAAAGAATATAAAAAATGTCTTGTAATCAATGAGGCATGAAAGGCTATATAGAGCTTTATCAAGTATCACAGAATGCTAAAAAAAAAAAATGTTGAACTTTATCAAGCATCATTATATAATAAAAGAAAAAAAAATATCAAAACAAATTTTGTTCAAGATGATTTAAACCATGGTTAAGTTGATACACAGTAGGATGTTACAAATTTTCTTGTCCATGATGAAAAAGGAATTGATCATTTGGCTGGTAATGAAAATATTCAAGAATTAAATTTCTTAATAGTTTGTTAGTATGTTGTAATGTAACTTTATTATAAAGATATTTTTATATATTCTCATTAAATATAAATGATATGTTTTTATTATGAGTTTTAATGATAAAATCTATATTTAATGTTCTTTTATATTAACTTGTAAGTTTCTTACTATATATCTTATTTTAAAATATGGATATTTATCTAGTTGGATCCAAGATCAATGTTGTAAATATATATCTAGAAAACATTGCTACAATGTAAACTATATTTAAAGATAAAACATATTTTTTTCATTTGATAATAGAAGAAGGTAATGTCAATATAATATTCGGTAATACAAGATTAATTAAAAGTTTCAGAAGAGTTAATATTTTACTACCCAGAGGAACAAAGTTCATGATAGAAAATGTATTATTTTTTACCAAGTCTCAAAAAAATTCATTAAGTTTTGAAAAATTTTATCTAAATGGATATCATATTGAGACAATGAACCAAAGAGACATTGAATACCTTTACATTATGTCTACTATCTTAGTCAAAAGTGTGTATTGAAAAAATTACCCACTTTGTCCTCTAGAATGCACTACACAAAAATTAAGCTGATCAAAACTTATGTTAGAATAAACCAGAAGTTCACTAATGATTCTAATATTTGGCATGATAAGTTAGGCCATCCTAAATCAATAATAATGTGAAAAATTATTGAAAATACATGTAGTCATCCATTGAAAACTAAAAGATTTTTCAATATAATGAATTCTCATATATTGTTTGCTCTAAAGGTAAATTAATTATAAGATCATCACTAGCTAAAGTTGAGACTGAATCTCTAATATTTTTTAAACATATTCAGGTGATATATGTGGATTCATATATCCACCATGTGGACCATTTAGATATTTTACAATTTTAATCAACATATTGACTAGATGGTCACATGTGTGTTTATTATCATTTTGCAATTTCACATTTGCAATCATTCATTTGCAAGCACATTTTCTTAATTATGCAATCAAGATTATTCATCTTTACAATGTTGGTGAATTTACATCTCAAGCATTTAATAAATATTATATATTAGTTAAAATAATTATTGAACAACCTATTACTAATGTTCATACACAATATGGTCTACCATAATTGTTTATTAAACATTTTTAACTGATTGTGAGGGTATTATTTATGAAATCTAATGTCTCAATTTCTATTTAGGAGCATCCTATTTTAGATACAGACATAGAAATTATTGGTCAATGTGGAAAGTCACATTCAAAGTAGAATTGAATTCACTTGCAAAACATTAAATTTTTAGACCTATACTCTGTATATCAAATGATATAAAACCAATAGGATATAAATGGGTATTTGTGTGAAAACAAAATAAGAAAAATGAAATTATAAAATATAAAGCATGGCTTGTCATACAAGGTTTTACCCAACGACCTGGTTTTAATTATAAAGAGACATATTCTTTAATGATGGATGTAATTATAATTCTATATTAAATAATCTGACAATATATGAAAAGATTAAAATATGTTTGAAGGATGCAGTTACAACCTATTTATACGGCTCACTTGATAATAATATTTATATGAAAATTTATGAATGATTTAAGGTATCTGAAATACAAAATTTAAATTCTTGATAAATTTATTTGATTAAATTAAATAAATTTTTATGTGGATTAAAACAATCCAAATGCATATGGTGTAATCGCCCTAGTGAATATTTATTAAAAGAAAGTTATAAAAATGATCGTACATGCTCGTGTGTTTTTATAAAAAGATTTGAATTTAAATTTATGACAATTATTGTTTATGTTATGTTGATAACCTAAATATTATTGAAACTACTGAAAAGTTATCAAAAGTCATAGATTACTTAAAAAAAGAATTTGAGATGATAGACTTTGGAAAAATAAATTTTGTTTAAGTCCTCAAATTGAGCACTTGACAAATGAAATTTTTATTCATTAATTAAATTATATAGTAAAAGTGCTAAAACGATTTTATATGAACAAAGCGCATCCATTGAGTTAACTAATAGTTTGTAAAGCCAGTAAATGTGACAAAAAAAGAAAACCTTTTCTAACCTCCTAAGGATGATGAAGAACTTCTTGGTTCTAAAATATCATATATTAGTGCAATTGGAGCACTAATCTAGCTTACTAGTAATACATGACTTGTTATACCATTATTTAGAAGTAAGATATAGTTGTTTTCCAACTCAAAGATATTGAAATGGAATTAAACATATATTTTAATATCTTCCCAGGGATAAGGGACATAGGCTTATATAACTTAAATGTATCAAAATCAAATTTAATTGGTCATGTACATATAAAATATTTATCTAATACATACAAGACTTGATCCTAAACAAGTTACTTATTCATACGTGGAGGTATGACTATTTCATAGTGTTTTTGTAAAATAAACTCTATTTGCTACTTCTTCTAACCTTACAGAAATTTTAACAATTCATGAAGCAAGTCATGAATGTATCTAATTAAAATTTGTAACTCAACACATTTGAGAAACATGTGGCTTGTCAATTGAGATAGAAATTCCAACAACATTATATGATGATAATACCATTCACATAGCACATTTGAAAAAATGATACATTAAAGACAATAAGACTAAATATATTTCATCAGAATTCTTCTTCACTGATGATCTCTAAAAAAAAAGTAATATTAGCATTCAACAAATTCAGTCAAATGATAATCTAATACATTTATTCACCAAAGGCCTTCTTATTATAATATTTGAAAAGTTGATACAAAATATTGGAATATGCCATTTCAAAGATATTAAATAATGCAGTCATCATGAGAGTAAAATACACACTGTACTATTTTCCTGCATCAAAGTTTTTTCCGAGGTAATATTTAAAAAACTTATTCTTGAAAAGAATTATAAAATTTTTTTATTTTACTCAAAATTTTTCTTATGAGGGTTTTTTAGTAAGATTTTAATAAGACATACTTTTAGTACAATGGATATTTAAGGGAAGTATTGTGAATATATAATGAATATCTATTTTATTATATATATCTAGATTTAGATATAGATTAGATTAAATTAAAATTTAGATTTAACTCATCCATCTAATCTCTTAATATTATTTTTATTTTATAAATTTTATTTAGATAAAAAGTTATTAGTTTATAAATAGCTTCTCACTTCATTTATAAATTTAATATGATTTTCTTACTTATTCTAAATACTGTCTTCATGATTATTTTTTTTATAATTATTCTTATAATTTATATTATAATAAAAAGACATTATAACCTTTTTTATTTCAAAATGATATTTTTGATCATTAATTTTGTTACTTAACAATTGAAAAAAATTTAAAACCTGATACCACCTAAACTTTTTTTAAAACACAAATACCTCTTATAATTTTTTTTTTAATTTAGACATATTCTCTTTAAAAAAAAAATTCTAATCGTCCCTCTCCTCAGGTAATGTACAAGATCACCCCGGCTTCTCCATTCGAAACTCAGGCCTTGGGACATTATCCAGAGCCTGTACAACAGTCCTTTTATACAGAGTTGACAGAGACAACAATTATAAAGAATGGAAACCACCAATCAATCAACCCTATTTCTCCACTGTCCATCTGAAAAACCAAGAGACAGTCAACCTCAAAGTCAACAAACAGATATAAGGCACAGACCAACGCCAAAGTTGAGGCCATGCAGGTAGAAAGTGGATCTCATCGACAGCCACCATCATTCCAGTCAGCAAGCACATATATAATGTCTAATCTTATTAAAATTCCAGCAACTCCAGATTAAGAACTATCAAGCAATTTTTAAAATGTTTGAAGAAATAAAAGAACGATTTTTATTTTTGTATAAATACTGTTTTGTTTTGTTTTTTTTAAAATTTTTGTGGAAAGATATATTAGTAAGACTGTTGAACCATTATTTTTGTCCATGGCAGCTGAGTCTAAATGGTCTCATAAAAGGGGGAATTGACTTCGTAAGCAGCATTAAATTGAGCATGTGGGGCTGCTGCTCTCTACTGTCTATACATTATACAACCCCAACCCTTTTCCCAAATTATGTCAGGTTGAGACTTGACACACAATATAATATGGCCCAACATTTATGTCAAATTTTGAAATCCCTTCTTCCCCAAATAATTTGTTCTTCTTTGGGAACGGAAATCATAATCATATCAGCTTTCAGAAGATTAAACAAAAATTAAGAAAAAAAAGGAAATTGTTTTGAAGAAAATCCAAAGCTTCCTTCCGAGACATGGTGGCTTTGAACCTATTAAGCTAGGATCTGGTCTGCTACAACTGTAATAATAATAATTAAAGCAAAAGTAAATGAGTGTTTTCTTATTAGTTAACCTTACGCATTTACTGTCGTTATTAGGTAGTTGCAGGCGGCCAGCCTGCTCCGTCTATGACAGCTCACTTTGAAGTGTGCAATGGCAAAGCCTTTCCTTACACAGGCCACCCTTAAATTAACCTCTCTCTCTCTCTCTCTCTCTCTCTCTCTCTCTCGTACATCTTTGCTTAAAATTTGGGTCAAAAGTCCCAAAAGACAGGTTTTTTACAGGATTAAACTATAGGCTTCCAAATGGCACGATCTTTGCTGTCTTTCTTTACTACCACACCTACCTCTCTGCCATAGCCATTAAGTTGAGAGAACAACCCATTTTCACTTTGCAGCATTCTGGGTCCATTTCTCCACGTTAGGGTTAGTCAGGGCTCATCTGCATGCTTTGGGAATTTACATTTCATCATGTTCATGTCCCATCTATCTCTCTGATCTATTCTGGTTGGTGGAGACAGCTTGTACAAAGTGTTAGCATCAGTGTCCTGCTACAACTAGAAGAATTAACAAAAAGACAAGCTTCATTTTGTACTTTTAGCCTTAGCAATCTACATAAGAAATTACCATAGCATAGTATTCCATTGCAAAATCACAAGCCAATTTACTATAAAATCTAAGAAACCCAATAAGGTCTTGATCATCATGGATATAAAACTGGGGAAATAGTAGCCTAGAATTTTCGGGCCAGGAAGCCAGAAATGAGTTCCATGTCTATGAACCATGCTATACTAAGAGCAGGCTCCACTTAAACCTGAATGTCAGTCATTTATTTACTTACTTGAGATAGAGGCTAGAGCTGTGGCCTGTGGGGACTAATCATGTTTCAATTAGTAAACTTTACCGTCCCTTCTGCGAGAAATTAATGGCGGTTTCCTTACCCATTTTATTTTGCTATGGATCTATGCTAATAGAGTTGGGGCCACCTAAACCAAGCCCCTCTCCAACAGTGTTTTCCTTTCCTTACTAATATTTTGCTGCCAACCTACTCCAAACTTGATATGAGCAAATTTTGGCAGGAAGAGACATGAATCTTTTAGGTTGTGTAGGTTCCACAATGACAGAATTTCAATGAAGCGCTCTTAGCAGCAACCAGGGGGTGAAGCATTCCCACTAAATTGCAAAGCATTTCTCAGACGTATAGTAACACTCTGCTATCACAATGAAGCATTCTCAACTGTTTATATTTATGTATATCAGTAGACTGTCTTACTAAACTTGTCAGCATTAATGTTTACTGCCTCTCGTACCAAAGTTCCAACAAGAAGACATTCATGTTCACACATGGATTATTTCAGATTGGCCAACATTTCACAGAATAAACCCAAATTAAGCCATGAAATTCTTGGTATAATTCGCCTTCTTGGCCAGAATAAAGACCATGATAACAACAAGATCAATTGTCACAAACACTAGATTATGTTAGCAAACAGGTGTTTCATATATATAAAGAGTCATTGATGATTTGATTTCATTGCTCGGTTTGTTTATATGTACTCCCTCTATCGCACTAATATTGATTGTCCAATTAAAAAGTATCGTGGAAGGCAGACAAAGTGACAAGATAAGAGGGACGTAAGGAAGTATATATTCTTCACATAAACTTACAAAGATCCTACGATTTAAGCATTATTAACCTCGTGGACTACCAGCCTATTGGTTTTTTATGTCCCTGTATTGGTCCCGTATGTACCTGAACTAAGTAAGAATGGTCCCAATTCATTTATCTCTCTTCATTGGATTTTCTGCCACTTGGACTTGGCAATTACTTAAGGCTGAAACGTGAAGCCCGCGCCCTTTCCTAAAATATCAGAGGGTGTAACAAGAAACTATCCTCCCAGTATTTGAGTCCTTTGAACAGAGTATTCAGATCATATCTAATCAAGCCACCATGAACCAGGACAAGGAAAATGATTAGTCCATGCTTAATCCTAAATCTCAATTAACCAAAAAAAAAAAATCTATTCATGCTTAAACCAATCCATGCCATAATCACACAGTAAGCATTTCGGTGTGTAGTTCACTTTTTATATCAAGTCATATTAAAAACAGACATGTAAATGGCAGAAGTAAGGGAAAGGAAGGGGGTAATTAGATACGTCCGTATGAGTTGATGTCCTCCTTAGAGAACCATTTCAACTATACATGGTTTCAACAATTCAAAGTTATTAAAAGTAAATTTAAATGCACCTGCTGTCATCAACTAACCTCATGCTGCTTCACCTGCTTCTATTTACTTCACCTTGTCCACCCTTTATATTTTCCCCCCACTCTTCTGAACCAACACAACTTCCAATCTTCATTCTCTTTTTACTACATCAGACAGAGATGGAGAGGGAAAGAAGCAAGCTGGTTTCTTTGTTCATGTGGGTTGTCGTAGCTGGGTTGCGTGTCCAGAATTTGGTCATTCCAGTAACGTCCACTAGCTTTGAAGAGCAGAAGAACTACTATCCAGCTCCAGACCCTCCATCAGGAACTCCCCCTCAGGTTTCACTCTCTCTTAGCACTCACATTACCCCAAAGAAACTACTTGTCATTGCTGCTCACATGTTATGTTAAACGTAATCCCTGTCAGTTATGCCAAAATACTGTGCCTTGTTTAGTATATGGTTCATACAAGTTGGCTGATGTTCCCATATTAATTGTTGTTTTATCTTCCTTTGCCATCCCACAACATGCATGCTCATTCCAATGGTGCTAAGTGCAGGTTCACACGGTTCAGGAGGTAGCTATGGCGGCACAACTCCCTCTCATGGAACCCCATCACATGGAGGTGGCTACCACCCAACACCAACACCATCAACGCCTCCAGGTGGAAATTGTGGGACTCCACCACACGAACCATCAACTCCATTCAAGACCATTCACACCCTCCTTCACATGGTGGATATTACCACTCCCCTCCAACTTATGGAGGTGGCAGTCCTCCGACTTATGGAGGTGGCAGTCCTCCGACATATGGAGGTGGCAGTCCTCCAACACCAGTTACTGTAAGCCCACCAACTACTCCCTCTATTGACCCTGGAACTCCAAGCATTCCTACACCTCCATTCTTTCCTGCTCCAACTCCACCTATTGGAGGTACATGCAAGTAAGTCACAGTAACTTCCAAATGTTGCTTTCATCATGAAGTTATGACCCTAACAACTCATATTTGTTACTTTCAGTTTCTGGAGGAGTCACCCAGCACTGATATGGGGTATGCTTGGCTGGTGGGGCACTTTAGGTAGTGCATTCGGCGCGACCAGCGTTCCTGGGTTTGGAACAACTATGAGCTTGCCACAAGCACTTTCAAACACACGTACCGATGGATTTGGGGCGCTTTACCGGGAAGGGACAGCTTCCTTGCTGAACTCCATGGTAAATAACAGGTTCTCATTCTCAACTAAGCAAGTTAGGGAGAGTTTTGTTGCAGCACTAGGCTCAAACAGCGCTGCAGCAGGTCAGGCTCATCTCTTCAAGCTTGCCAATGAAGGCCACCTCAAGCCCAGGGCCTAAACAAAACCTTCCGTTTGTCAGTTTCTTGAAGCATTTTATCCACTAGTGTGTGCTACTTAGATTGTGTTTGTAGTATTTTCTAAAATCTGTGATGCTACAGCTTTCATTTGGATAGATACTGTCTCGAGAATTAAATGTTAAAGTTTATGTTTTCTTATTGTTAGAATAAGATTTAAGATTTTGGTTTCAATTTCCTCGTGCCACACATCAGTATCTATTTGTATTGGGTTTCTTCTATTTGCTTAGCAAACAAAAAGGGGAGAAGATTTTGGTTTCAGTTCCACATATTCTACACAGATAGAAGCTGCATTAAAAGGTACTGGTTACTAAATCGGAAACCATAGTTTAAAACCATCTGAAACAATCTCTATTGGTAAAATCAAACGATATCTCCAAGCATTTTAAATTTCAATTAGATAATGGCCCAGACCAAGCATATCGCATGACTGGGGCTGCTCCTAAGAGTGAGAGCATGTACCGTGCTGACTACAACAAAGGGAGTGTGGTAAGAATAAATGAGAAATGAATGCGCATTAAATGGCCATGATACAAAGCAGTGGGACCTGCAGACAGCCCTATGTAGTTCCATCACTATATGCACAGCCGTAGGAAATCCATGAACCCCATTTAAGAGTTTGGAGCTGCATAAACCAGATCTCATAAGAACAATTAAGACGAGTTATAACACAACAAACGTAGTACCAAGGCCGTGATGGCTCAATGTCATTATCATATACTAAATATTGGTCTCATTATCATAAAAGGTAAACAGATGTTTACCTCTCATCAACATGAAGAAAACAAAGTCTTCATCTGACAGAAATTCTAATGACAATCCTGGTTAACTAGAAGCCATTCCTTCCAAGTCACATTTGAAGCAACAATTTTACAATCATGGGATCTGTCTCAAATGAAAGTAAAAAGGAAGCTCAACAAGAAAATAACTGGGCAGGAAGGCCTGGGCGCAAAATACCCTAGTTCCAACTTGTCATTCCAGCTTTTATTCAAACTCTTCACTATGAGAGGAAGCATTATATCTTTGCTCGCTTTATCCTGCAGATAAGAGAAAGGGAAAACACTACTGTACATACACTGAGCCAGAGCTAAAGTACCAACCAGAAATCATCAACAATGTCAAAGTAAACATGACATTTGATAACAAGTTAACAATCCTCTGACAAAAAATATGGGCAATTGAAAACCCTAATCATCAGCTGATTACGGGAAACCACTTTCCAGTATAACGTGTTATTGCTCCTAAGTATTTATCATTCTTACTTTTCTCCCTGGAGGCTCAGGACTTCAAAATGAGATACCGAACTTGCCATCATGATGTTTGTGAGAAAGGAAAATTGTCTTCTTAGATTCCTACCCAGTGTCTCAGTACTTCGTCCTTGCACTCAAATGTCATTGTAACATTCAACATGCTGTTTCAGACTCACTCATTCAAGGTATATACACATGAGGTGAATTATTAAACTCAATCTAACTCCATTCATTTTCTAAAGTTTGAATTAATTTGTGATGGTTATGGAAAATTAAATAAGTCTAGAAACTACTACTTCAAATGGTGGTAACAGCATGAAGCATAAACCCTTTGGGAATCTGATTCACCATTATTTCTAGTCCACTGATGATTTTCAGGACACCTCAGGTGCCAATGTAAATAATTCTCTAAGTTTTAATCTGCCTAAAAGAAAAAAGTTTCAAAGCCATTATCAAAATTAACTATTGCTAACAGCAATGTCAAGAAGTAACAAATAAGCTAAGTTGCAATGGTTAACACATACAAATTCCAATAGATATAGCTTGAAATCAGTAAATTTTACTTGCAGTAATGAATAAATTAAAGTAAATAGTGTCAACAAGAAGTTAATAAACAAGTGTGGCTACCATATGATCATGACAGATGCAGCTACCCCATAAAAATTTCACCAAGCAAAGCCAGTCACAGAAAGTAGATCAACACTAAAGAAAATAATAATAAATCAAGGTACATTAATTTCATGTGTCATTTTGTTAAGAGACATGGATAGAGAGATGTCTAGTAATAGAGAGAAAATCAATTAGAAGACATCCATGTTTCCTTTTAAAATTTTGGAAATTTTGATTTACTTTAATTCCTAATAAAATCAGAGGGTTGCTTCCAAGACTAGAGAAGATATGACAATGCAACAATAAAACGCATACCAACCCAGGCTCTAAATATAACTAGTTGGGGTTCAAGCTCTCCGAGAGTATAGAAATGAACTTGTGCAAGGCCAAGGCATCATGACATTTTAGTAACTTGAAATCATGTACATCAAGAAATAAGAGAGTGCTAGCTGAAAGTTAATTGAGGGGGATAGGCTTAACTAACACTTGACTTTATAGTATTTGATTTTTATCTTTATAAATTTGATAAAACAATATGGTCTAATGATTGGGCTTGTATCTCATGTAAAAAGAAGAGCACCACAAGTATAGAGTGTGATGTTGCTGATATTTCCTTCAGCATCTACAGCCTTGAGCCTCTGAACCTTGTTTGTGGTTGTTGATGCAGGCACCAGATTGGATTGAGCTGTATATGTAAAATGCTTGAATAAATGAAGAAGGCAACCAAAATTTATGACTTCCCCGGACAACATAATTCTAGTGAGTGGATTCTAGTTACATTTTTAACTCCAGGAAACTATGGCCAAGAAGTCAGAAGAAAAAAAAAGAGAAAGAAAAGGCATAAATGGAGAAAATGTACAACATGTATTCATATAGTTATAAAGATCTTAGGACAAATTAAGATGCAACTTCTTCAGAATACAACACAGATAGCACAAGTCTGAGATAGAAGCCACTGAGACTAGGATCAGATGCAAGGGTAATCCACGTTAGTATAATATACTGAAGTACATGAGACCATTAGATTAACTGGAAAGACGTTCTTCATAGAATGATTGTATTTCTGGTAAGGTTGTGCCATCAAGAATGCAATTCACAATATAAAGTCTCGATTGTGGATACAGTAAGTAGCAAGCTGCATTTACTTTATTCATTGAATGTCAAAGTTCACATTTGAGAAAAAAGGAAAGTAGAGACCATGAGGAGGAATGTTAAGGGAAAATCTAAAAAAATGTTAAAAATCCTACCACATGAAGAATGGATGCCACAATCTCACCAAGACAACTATTAACAACCAACATTGAAAAATAGCACTGAGGTAGTAACAGATTTATACACACACAAAGAGACCAAAATTTTGTAAGCATTTAAGCTACACAAACACTGTATATGATTGACTGCATCAAGTCGGTATCCAAAATCACTTATTCAAGTCTCTATGTCATATCTTGAAAGGAAACTGGGAAAAGGCTCTTTGTCACCAACGTAGCCAAGAAAAATGCTTTTATTGTTAGTTTCTCCATCAGCTTTGAGTAGTGACCCAAGCCACAAACTAGAGCGAATTTTCCACAACATGAAATGGAAGAAGACTTGTTGAAGGGGGAAGAATCAGGAGGGCCTTTTGTTCGCTATCTTAGATTGGACAAAACTTCATATAATCATTTCTTTTACTTTTAAGGAGGCTAATTCGTAGCTCATTAAAGGAAAATTTATGATTTTGGCTATACTTATTTCAACATTAGCACTGGCATTGACTTTTGATATTATACAGCTCTGAGCTGCTTGTTTTTTATTTTGATACAAAATCCAGTGAGCACATACATCTCTATATTCTCCAATAACACAAGTATAAAATTTCAGAATTTAATTTTAGGAGACACAGATGCACTATGCAAATACACTTGTAGGGTACAAATTTTAGGGATGGAGAGATGAAGTGCCGCACAACAAAGTATTGAGATAAGTAGAATAGAATTCAGAAAAACGAATTGGAAACGCTGCTGAAGCTCAAGCAACATGGACAAAGCGTAGAAAACTGAAAACATAGACTAGTAAATAATAATGCATTTCACATATTCAGAGTAACAAGACCTGGCACTCAAGTAAGAATTAGTTCTATCCATAAGCAGAATCATCTGGTACCAAGATATTACAATCAACCTTTGTGATATCCAGTATCAATCAAAACAATTAGCAGAGATTTGACTATGTAGCAATATTAATTCCTTTAAACATGCGAGAATAAAAAAATCATTTACTATCTAACTAACTCAGAGTAGACTACTAATGTACCTTGCACATGATTTTCATGAACATGAAATTTTGGAATACTTAATAAAAGAATTTATTTAATAGAATAAATAACTAATAATATCGAGTCATTTATAAACAAACCCACAATTACAACTCCAAGATATCAAACCCCATAGCATAATTATTGCAAAAAGCGCAATTATACACGTATAAATGAATTTGTTTTTTTTTGTAAGTTTCCATCATAGTCTTTTAAAATATATGGATCTAGTTGCTGGCTGGGATTACATCAGATGGAGGGATTTAGGCTTATGCAGGAGCACAGATAGGGAGAAAATGCCAACTCAAAAAGTATATAGAGGAAAGATACATCATTCAAAGCAAGCATAAGAAGACCTCTCAAAGGCCACTAAGGATACTTTGCAATTCTACAAAAACTATATGAAAAAGTATTCAGAGTGTAATGAAGACTTTTTTTTGCGACATATAGTTAAATTTACCTAATACATAGCGCATGCCGTAGTTTGGTTTTAGTGCAAGTTAGGAGCTTTACATTCTCTGGTCCTTAGTTGTTTACAGACAAACTTCAAGCAGTAAACAATTTAATCCAGCTAAAGTTGAGGGATTGTAACTACGAGCTGTATGTACAAATCACTTCTGAATAGACAGTACTTCAGTTCAAAACAGTTTGCAAATCTCTTCCATGGCCGAGAAAGGAGAATGTGGCACAAAGGAATAATGCTCAAGTCATATAAGATTCAAACCATTTAAAGATCTGTTCAGATTGCAAGCTAGTCATTTCATGGTATGCAAACGCGAGATTTAGCTCCTCCTGAACAGGATGCGCTAAGCCCTTCTCCAGAAAAGTAGTCTTACTTTCCTGGAGAGCTTGTTTCCAATGTGTCATACGCCCATCCCTTTTCATATACCCATTCTCATCTATAAAGCCTTTCTCCTTGAATAAATTGAACAATCTAGCAGAAATAGTCTGATCAAGACCTGGGATTCTGTCAGACAGAAAGGTTGTTGACAGAGGCAACTCCATGCATTCAATCTCTGCAACATCAATCCCTTTGTTTTTCAAAACTTCCATAAATTCAGTTATCTTTTGTTGCCTATGTACATCTTTTGGCATGTGCACAAAAAGGGTTGGCGGATAGTCCTCTATGATGTCCATTTGATCAAACATTCCTTCAGCAATCATAAGTGCAATACTACTAAACTTCAAATCATTAGCCAGTGCAGATACAAAGTATCCACCAGAAGAGGCCCCCAAAGCCACAAGAGGTAGCTTTTCAAGGTTCTGTCTCTTAACCCACCATCTGATAATATCTTCAACAATCAATCTTTCCTTCCCAAACGTCCAACATCTCCCTGCACTCGATATAGTCAAGACAGCAAATTTCCGAGCAAGAGCATGAAGAACAAGGAGCCTTTCCTCCGGCAAACCAACACATTCAGGGCATTTAGAAGACCTATCCCAAAAGTTGACAGCTCTCCCACTACATCCATGAGCTAGAAAAAGAACAGCCTTAGGCAAATCAGGTATTTGCCATATCAAATCCGTGCCATTCCTGAATTCCCTTTCTGGATTAAATTGCACCAAAGACTCAAACCCATTCCATTTTTGGTTCGGTAGACCATACACTGGAATTGGGTTTTCATCATTTTTGCGGAAAAACATCAGCAATGCTACTAAGACTGAAACAAGAAACATAACCGGCACCATAACCGGGCATCTTTTAGGTCCATTCCATGCCTTTGACTTTGTTCCGCGATTCAACATGACTATCAACAGAGATACAATAAGAATCTCGAAGAAATCCAAAACGTATAAAAATTATAAAAAAAAAACCCCTAAATGTAATTAAAATGATTCATAGGTTCAGAGTCCAGTAATTCAGTGTTGAATTAGTCTAAGAGTCTCAAAGGTTGTTTGAATAAATCTGAAATGTTAGACATTATCACATCCAACTTGGAGAAGGTAAACACAAATATTTGAGATGCCAAATGAAAGCCTGAAGCTTCGGAATGAAAGAAGGAAACAAAAAGTAAATACCTGCAAAAAAATTTGGGGTTGGAGATCTACTCCTCTGGTTTTCACGCCTCGAGAAAGCTGTGCTTCTGTTTCCAGCCTTTGCAGCTTTGGAAAGGGGTTTAAGGGGTGCAATGTAAAAATATATAATATATTAGTATACTAATAAAGTATAAACATAACAATTGATGGGGTAATTTTACCTTTTTTAATGTACTTTATATCAAGATAAAAACAGAAGGAATTCTTCCTCAAATTTGGTATTACAAAATACTATGAATTAAAGTCTGAGTGAACTTAATTTGTTGAAGTGCATGAGTTTAAAGAAATTGTCATTTCCACCAAGTAATTCCTTTTGAATTTGTAGTACTGGGAAAAGGATAGATTCTCGACAATGCTCTATCTCACTGAGAAAAAAAAAGGAGATTTTGTAAGCTTCACATTCCACTATTAGTGAATTTGATCTAATTTTATAGTAATTTGTGAATTTATTTGATTTATTTTCATAGATTTTTTTCTTATTTTGTTTAACGCTCTTTCTTTTCTTTTCTCTTCATATTAATTGGTTTAATGCTAATTGTGTTTTAACTTGCTATTTTTATATAATTTTTTATTTACAAAATAAAATTAAACTTCACAAGTCCTTATCGCGATGCTATTTATTTACTTTTATTTATACATTTGAAGCACATTGCCCTCCATTGTATTGTATTTGTAAGGTACTGACAAAGAAACTTGAATTAGAAGCATCCAAATCTAATATTCGTGATATATAGAGCTTGCATGCACGTGTTTGGCGTATAGAGCAGTGGATCGAGTTGGCAATTGCAAAATCTGTTTCTTCGTACCCACAACTTCCCTATCTGTTCTTCTCCATTATAGTTTTAATCTTTCTAATTTTCTCTGCTTTTGCTGTGAACTAAAAGGGATGAATCAGTTCCGGTACAATTAAGAGAAAGTTTACTTCTTCCACCGCCTACATCTTAAGTCCTTAAAACTCCATCAGAACACAACATCATTTAATGATGCATCTATTTTTTTCTGGATTTCTTATCCAGATTGATGAACCATGTTCAACTGTTAAACTTTTACTAATGTATATAAAACGTTGATTAATCCAGAGAAATCCCAACTTCTGCAAAGATCATCCACCAAATTGTTGGCGACATTATCTCAAGGATGTCAAAACCACAAGCTCCAGTTGGACTGCATATTATGACGGCTACACTGAATTATCTCAAGGATGTCAAATCCCAACTTCATCTGATGATCTCAAAACAGAAGAAGAAGAAGAACCCAAAACAGAGTTGCTACACTGAATTAGCTCCCAGCATTTATTTGTTTTATCAGATATCATAGTGCTTGCTGAAAAAAAAAATCAAAAAGTTTTGGATGTTCATTTTTCGTAACCACTCTGATGTTCATCTCTCCTTTTTCCGGGCAAATTGATCGAATAATATCTTCTGGCTTATCCAAAAATAAAATAACGAGAATGATTATGTTCTTTCAATGTGTTGAATTTGTGTGATTATAATCTTCTTCTCGTGATAATGAACCTGCTAGGAGGACTCGAGCAAAGCTAACAGAAAGCGGATGGAGTTTGGATGATGAGGTAAGGTAATCATCAACTTCCAAAACAAATTGAACTCTTAAAACAGAGCAACATTTTAGACCAACCCAGAAATTCTCACTAGTTTATGGTGATTTAAAAATGGTTTTACTTATCAGGTGGACTCCATTAAAGTTAAAAGTTCTCCACAGTATTTGTCCCCTGTTTTGAGCTTTACATTTCCTTGGTTTTGCTTATCTGATTTCTGTATTTGATGGCCTTTCAATGAAGGAGCAAGTAGAATGCATTTCATACCGTTATCCTCCCACAAACCTTAGATTCTAAATTCTTGAAAGTAAATTAACTCATGAATTTGGAGATATAAACTCAATAATCTACATATCAAAAAAGTAGGCAAATCTAATGGGTTTACAGGGGATTTCTGCTTTCGAACAGTAGCAAAGTTGGGGGTGATGAATTGCATTGGGCTATTGACTTTAAGGCAAATCTTTCCCTAAAGTTCTAGTGAAGCTAGCCTTGAGAGACCACCTTACAGAAACGTAAGGGACAATCAGGGCACTGAAGGAAGCCAAAGCTACAACATCAATATATGTAAACCCAAAATTACTTGAAAATAAACTAAAACAAACGCAAATCGTTCTAGCTAGACCATTTTCACACTGCTATCAATAGAAGCCAGTTTGTTCATATGCAACTGTCTTCAACATTCCATTAAAGAAGTTCCCAATTGGATATGCTCTGATCACAAACTAAACTACCGCCGAAAGGCATCACATTCATATCAACCAGGAATCAAGGAAAACAGAACTCAAACTGAGTTTGGCAGAGAGCAATCCTTGTAAGCAGTATAAGATGCCCAACAGTTGAGATCCAGCCACAGGCAAAGACAAGTAGATCTAGCACAAGTCGTCGCAGCCTCTCGCCACGTCTAATGAATGAGTTACCTTTAGGGTGTTTTTTCCTGGAGGGGCGGCGCCTTTGAACATGGATGAAAACCTTGAATCATCTGGCAAGCAAAGCATCATTAATGAATGAGTTAGTAGCTCTTCAAACTTCAAGTGTAAACTGAGATAAGAGTATAATAAGACAGATATTTACTTTGGTATTTGATAAAATAGTAATTAAAGAAGAATCATAATAGTATTTATTTATGTCATGACTTTGTTAATTCAAATCGTCCGTGCGCGATACACACATGCAAGTCTAGTTTTCTTTTTTTTTTTGTATAACTTTATAAATGCAGTGCGTGTCGCGCATGGACGATCCAGTTTAACAGTCATTTGTTTCACTCTAGTATTGGAGCATGGGGTAGCCTAGCTCTGCTCCCTAACCCTATATATACAAAAGGGGTTCGCTAAATCAATTCCCACATATTCATTTGATGATTATATGACTTTAAACGTGCATCTCTTGCGATACGACGTCAAGGGTAAATTCAACATCTAAAAAAAGTGGAATGCAGTGACAAGAGACTCAGACGGTGGGACCCCATTGTTGTATGAGTTGGCACACACCAAAATTAAGGTGCGGGAGTCACACGCATGTGATGTAGCGATGCATTAGTGTTTTGAATATTTGCCATCCCTGCTTGACAGTGGTGTGGAATTGACTCTCATCAGGACATTCACATGGAGACAGCGAGGCTTCGAAGTTGCAGCCTCTCCAATCTGAGGGCCTAATTTAAAGAATGGGGAGGGGGCGAAATCAGCTTTGCGTTTCAAACTCTTGGATTAGTCGTTTTGGGGACAGAGACATTTGCCTCTTTTCCAAAAACATAAGATTCATGCTTCTTCGGTATAAGAGCTTGAAAGCACTGATTTTATACAACTTAGGGTTTTTATATTCAGATCAATGAAGAGGAACCATTTTCATCGCCCTTTTTTTATTTTATTTGTAATTTTCACTTATACTATGTCCAATGTTTAGATGTGATTCAATCATTGAATTGGACCAAATTTTTTAAAAAAATTATATATGATTTTAATATATTAAATAAAACCACGGGGGTATGCTTTCAAACATGCAAGTGACATGGAATTAAAATATATATATATATATATATATGCGAATGTATGTATATTACTACTAATTCTTGACTGACTTGACTGGACATCAACGTAAAACGGACTGACTGGAAGGAGACAATCTCTCTCCCTCTGTCCCCCTCCCACTCTCCCTTTCACTATCGCTCGTTTTCTCTTCCAGCTCTCCCCCTTCTTTCTAGTACTTTCTACCTTTTGCTTTGGAGCGAGAGTTATAATTTTTTATTTTTATATTAACTATAATATACATTGACGAATTTACATAATTGGTATTCCTTTAAAAATTTATTCTAAATTACTTTTTTTTACGGTAGAAAAAAAAAGAAAAATGCTCTCAAAACTCTTACTCTTAAGGAAATCCAAGTGGTGAGAATTAGTGAAGTCATTGCTATTTTCTGAAAAATGAAATTAGTATAAAAAGGGGAGAAGATTATTTGTGCATGTTGAATCTTCTCTTTTCATTATTAAGTTCGACTCTAATGTTAATTGATTTATGATCAGAATAAATAAGTGAAGAAAGTATTGAAGAATCTTTATCATGTAAATGCTTTTTGTGTTGTGAAAATATTTGATGTTGTACGAGCCAATCATAAACCAAATATTCGTAGAGATGAAAGAATGGATGTGTGACATGATACTTTGACAAGGTGGAATACCTTCTCTCATATTATGCTTGCAACCTAGGGAGAGTGAACTTTCACTCTCAAGAGTGTATGTGTTCTTTTGGAGTTTCCTGTACAAGGGAAAACATGATTCTCATTCCATCAAACTCTTTGAAGAAGATGAATGCCTTCAAGATTTTTTTTCGTAATCTACTCAAAAATCAAGACAAGACTTTAAAAGTTACACAATTCTCCAATTAGATAGGGTTATTCTCTAAGAAGCTCAACATCAAGTTAGTGAGAGTAGCATTCTAGAGTATCTAGACCATGAGAATAAACTAATGACATTACTGATCATGTGGTTAGCTCGACATGTGTTTCTCGTATGTTTAGATGATGGGATTTCTCCACCTATCATTCTTTTTCCAATTAAAATCATTAGAAGGGATGAGATATCCTCTTGCACCACTCTGTTTGGCCTCTTCGTACAGGAGGCTAGCCATGTAATTACACACCATTATAAATCATCATAATAAAAAAAGCCCCATAAACCATGACAACGATCTTCATAGCAACACAATCCACAAATAAATAAATAAATACAAAAGAAAACCTTAGATGTAAGATTCAAAACTGTTTTTCGAAAACCTTAGGAAATAAAAAATCATCGAAAAAAAATATGGAAGTGAGTGAGATTAGGGAAATTTTGAGGTTTTAGGAAGGTTTTATAGGCTTTTCGGGATTTTCAAGAAGGAAAGGAAGGGAATTGGATTCGGGTGGAAACCAATAAATGGAAATGTGGAAGAAAAGGGAACAAGAAAGGGTGACAAAGTTTTTCGACTGTGGTTGATAGCAATGGTAGCCCAAGTTTAGGGAAAGAGTTGAAACAAGGTTTTTTCAACAGTGGCGAAAAGTTGAGAAAGGATTGAGTTTTTAGGGAGGAATAGGACGAGGGACGATAAA